AGAAGAAGAAGAAGAAGAAGAAGAAGAAGAAGAAGAAGAAGAAGAAGAAGAAGAAGAAGAAGAAGAAGAAGAAGAAGAAGAAGAAGAAGAAGAAGAAGAAGAAGAAGAAGAAGAAGAAGAAGAAGAAGAAGAAGAAGAAGAAGAAGAAGAAGAAGAAGAAGAAGAAGAAGAAGAAGAAGAAGAAGATGATGATGATGGAGAGGAAGAAATATAAGAGAAGGAAGGAGAAGAAAACGATGAAGCCAACAAACAATTCTTGTAGAAATATAATCAAATATGACATCATATATGTTTCCAAAATATATATTAGAAGAAACTGTGGAATTCTTTGTTATTCTTTTCTTCCTCTGTTTTTCCCGTCGTCCTCTGGGAGTCAGAGGAGAGAGTGTTTCTGCCTGTGTGTGTGTGTGTGTGTGTGTTTGGTAGGAAGCGTATCGACTTTCTCCACTCCAGAACACAACCTTAATGTATATACACACACACACGGTCAACACACACACAGAGACAGACATACGAGTTGCGAGGTTGATTCATCAATATTTCAGAGACGCGGTCCTTCATGCTGAAAGATCTCGAGCGGAGATCAGAGATGCGCTGTTTTCCTGCTTATAATGCACACACACACACACACACACACATGCACGCACTCAGAGCCCAGACCCATTTTCTCCTCTAATTAGGCAGGAAGCCAGGCTATATAAACAGGAAACAGACATTCTACCCATACAGTCCAGCACAGCGGTCTCCAACCTGTTTTTCCTCTGAGAGCTAGTTTTACAAAATAAAAATGGCCGACAGCTGCTCATGTTTGTGTTCCGTTTATTGTCATAGTTCACTTCTAACAAACAAACTCATATAGCTGTCATTGACTGAACATTAACAATATTTACTGTCCACTTTATTATTATTAGAAATAATATTTAGCAGTGGGGCGGGCCAGAATAAAACATCAAGGTAATCCTTCATAATCAACTGATTAATCGTTGTGTGGGAAAATAACAGGAGAGAAAGGGAAAGGATCAATAAAATAATTGATCTATGTCTATGTCAAACCTTAACCAAAGGTGTTATATTATACTATGATTTTTGTTAAAAAAAAACAAATTAAAATGATCCAGAATTGCCTCAAAATGACACATAATATGTTTAAAATTTGCACTAAAAACAACACTATGTTGTTTTGTCATAAATTGAACTTAAAAATTATTATTATTCAAAACAATTATTCATTGGTTTGAGAACGTTCTATTATTGAACTTGGAGAATCTAACATGTACGCTAGTCTCTGTGTGTGTGTGTAATATTTTTCCAATGGTCATTGTTACTGACCACTGGCTCTGATTGGCTGAGGCTGAGCTGTAGGGCGTAAGAAAAACAAACCTCCATCAGAGTCCACTCAGCACAAAGACAGAAACGTTAGAGGCTGACCTGGAGTCAGTCAGTGCTCGGTCTAAATAAGCACACGTTTGTTTTTCATGTGAACGACTCCGGCGCGGTGCCGCCCTCGGGCCGTGTCTTCTGTTTGCTGCCAGTTCTGATAATGCAGGTTCTATTTTCATCTGCTTTGAAAGAACTCGAAAAAAAAAAAAAACATTTTTAAAAAAGTCCCTGCGTGTGGAAAACCCAGGCTTATGAAAAGTCTGCACGGCTTTAGCTGGACAGTATTAGTAAATAAATAAATAAACGTGTGAGGCTTTGAGTCAAATTCATTTAATGAAGTTCTGACCCAGAAATGTAGATCTAAGAATAGTCCACATGGTCTGACCTGGCACGGTCTCCCAGCTGCTGATCAGTACAGAACTGTAAATTAAGTACACTTCATTTCAGGGTAGATGGGAAAAATTAGTGCAATTTCAGTTCGAAAAACATATTTATTTATATTTGTAAGTTGCAGAACACAATAAGAGAACATCTGGTTGGAGGAGGTCTGTTTCACGGACAGTCTGTGGTCGTCTCACCTATAATGGACCCAGAGATAGTCATGCTGCAGAGTCGTTGATAATGTGATTTGTATCGATGGACATCCGTCCATTATCTGCAGCTTTTATCCTTTTACCCAACGTCACACACACACACACACACACACACAGATTCAAATTCAATTTCCTGAACGTCTCTCCATCACAACGGCAGGACTCACAGATGCAGAGCTGCACCAGGAAGGGCACTTAACACCAGCTGACCAAACACAGCGCCACCAGGCTGCTTTCTGACCCACTTACACACAGGTCCCGTGTGCAGATGTATATGTGTGTATATGTGTGTGTGTGTCAGAGAAAATAAAGACCTCACACTCATTTCTAAGCTAATTCTGCTTAATGATTCCAACAAATGCTGTTTTCTTTAACGCCACACTCTGCCTAGCAACCACTCTTTCATTGGCCTACAGCACAGAGAAAAATAGGACCTGCAGCCTTTTCTGGTTGGTGGGTTGTGACCACGTCCTGACCAATCACAGCAAAGCTAATTAAACATTTATATTACATATTTAAATATTTAGAAATTCAAACAAACATTTTTAAATATTCTTTAGATACATAAAAATGAGCTAATTAGTAACTTGGACAAATAAATAACCTGACATCTACAGCCCCTAGTGGGTATGTGAAAGTACTGCAAGGGGTGGCACAAGGAATTAGTCTTTGATATATTTGTTCGAATATGAATCGCACTGGTTTAAAATATAACAAATATATAAATATAATACACAGCTGGTGTTTACTAATTTTATTTAATTTACATATTTTACTTCAAATGAGGGATTTTTGGAGCGCTTCTGGAAACACGTAGCTTCTCTTTGACACCAGCAGCTTCTTTACAGACGGATGAAAGGCAGGAAATGCTCCTCGCCTTAATCATCTTCCTCCTCGGGGGAAGAAGAGGAGATGACTGTGACATCACGTCAGCAGCCGGCTGCTACAGACCCATATCAGTGGCCGCCGGCTCCTTCAGCTGTGGAGGTTCTGTTGGGATGATTTTAAAGGGTCTGGCATCAGCTGGTACTTTTAAAGACGTGACCAGTGAGAGATTTTATTTTGTTTTGGAGACACGGAAGAGCTGAAGATGAAGACAGAGGACATCAGCTCTGGAGCATGACTTCTGCTATAGAGTTATACAGATAAACAGTTTTGATCTGGCCTCCTGTCAGCCAGCGTTGCCAGATTTGAAAGGTTGAAGTATTGTAACAGTGGCTGGAAATGACTGTATTTTTATTTTAAAATAAATAACACAGCCAAATGTATATACAGCCTGATGTAGCCCAGGAAAATCTACCTGAAAAACTGTTCAGATTACAGCCCATAAATAAAAGCTAATGATTCTTCCATGGTCTTTGTCTGTCCATTCAATATGTCCTTTTTTTTAACCCATGATTCCTTCTTCATCCTGTGAAATCAGCTTCAGTTACTCATCATACAGGGAGAGTTTTGTGAGAAAAACCTGAAGTGTATTTCCAGTGTTTTCTCCTCCTCCACCTACACAGACTCATCATGCACCACATTCACACCTCTGCGACTGGGAGCTGTTAGCTCAAGACTTCTGACTGCTGAAAAACAAATTCTAAAAAAAAAACAAACATTTAAATACGACTCCTGCAGATCTGATACTAAAAATAAAGGCCTCCTCCTCCACAGTGGAGCCTCTGGCTGTCTGCTGCTGCAGCAGCGGAGTAATGTGATCCAGTGGTGTCTCGTGTTGGGACAGTTCAGGACACAGAACTGTGGACTGAAGTCCTTCTGCACGGGTGACTTATCGACTGACTGTGGACATGATTCAGTGAGTGATTATATCACTTCAGACTTGGTCTGTGATCGTTGGCCAGAGGGACCAGAGTTCATCTGTGGAAACGTGAGCATCGTCTGCATATGTAGAGATATGAGAAACTAATAAAGCGGCCACTAAACCACAACCACAAGCTAAAGGTCAAAGGTGAAATGCATTAATTTAGGTTTAATTTGATTTATATTTGTGTTTTTCCTACTAATTTTATTTATTTAATCATCGTTTTTGTTGCTTTTGTTGTCTGACGTGAGAACAGACTTTAAATTTAATATAAAAAATATTTGTTTCCTTTACTTCATTCTTTCCTTTATACAAAGTCATCTGTTAACGAGAAGGAAATTAGCTACAGAGTGGAGCAGCTGAGCACACACACACACACACACACACACACACACATATTCACAGTGGTGTAATTAAAAATTTCTATTTCTATGTCACTTAATAACAGCTCACGTCAGATTATCACACTTGATAATCCCATGTCCTTAATCTGACTTTGGATGAGTTCCCGTCACAGTGTGTGCCGGAAGCTAATGATAAAAAAAAGTGTCCTTACTATTTTGTTGGCAAAGAATGACCCAGTCTGAGTCAAAAATCTTTTTTCCAATTTGAACACAGTCTGAGTCAAAAATCTTTTTTTCCCAATTCGTCTCATCATCTGTTTACTTCAATTACAAAATCTTGAAATTTAATAATTTTACTGTATTTGTCATCTTTCCTTCATCATCAGTGGCCTTCAGATGTTTACTGTATTTGTCATCTTTCCTTCATCAGTGGCCTTCAGATGTCAGACTAACTTTGGCTTAGTGTTTAGATGGTTTTTTTGCTAACCTTTAGTCATTTTGCTTAAGCTAATTACCAATTAATGTTTCCGTTTTTTTTTGCTAACCTTTAGTCATTTTGCTAAAGCTAATTACTGTATTTTCACTTTTTGTTCATTTTGATTTTGTCCAAAATGTCTTTGCATATGTTTTGTCGACAAGACACGTGTCTCTGGTTGTACGTCTTACCTTGTACTTGGCCGTCAGCTGCTCAGTAGCTTCCTGCTCCTTCCTCAGATCCCCCATCATCCTCTCCTTCTCTCCCAGCAGCCTCTGCTTCTCTTCAGCCAACATGAACTGATCCTCCCTGATGGCATTCTTCTCCCTCTCCAACCGCTGCTCCTCCAGCTTCACATACTCTTCTGCATCCTTCTCCACATCCAGCTCCTCTTCCTCACCCTCGCTCTCATCATCACCATCCCTCTCCCAGTCCTCACCCTCCACCTGCTCCTTCTTTTGTTTGTTTCTCCATCTCCTGTGGTTGAGCTGTGCTCTGAGGCGAGAGATCTCTTTCTGGAACTCACGCAGTAGAGCGTCCTTGGGGTCTTCGTTGACTCTTGGTTGGTTCTGGATGTTCTTGGCTCGGTTTGCGTAGCGGAGCGTGGTGAGGGTTTCATCGTAGTGCTGGGGGGCTGGGCCTAAGGTTGCCACCATGACAGTCTTGGCATTTCCACCTAATGAATCCTGCAGCAGCCTGGTCAGCTTAGAGTCCCTGTAAGGCACATGTCCGCTGCGTCCGTCTGCCAACGCTGAGATCACGTTCCCCAGGGCTGACAAGGAAAGGTTGATCTTTGCCGCTTCTTTCAGGCGTTCTCCCTGGACTCCAGTCTTTGCTTGGCGCTCGCTACCTGCGAGATCAACCAGGTTGAGATGTCCGACTCGAATGTGCTTTCTTCCATCTGGTCCTGGCTGGCTGCACTCTACCGTGATCAAGAACAAAGCGTGGGACCTGGACGAGTGCTCGTTCATGTCTGTTGCCGCGACTGCCCTGGCCTGGTTGCCCACGTTCATCACCTCTTCAATTTCTTTGATGCTCTTACAGACACACAATGTGAGATCCTGGACGTAGACTCCAGTGTCTGGGTTCTCCCTGAGTTCCAGGCCTCTGCCGTTGCCGTGGTTGGGACTGAGGAGATCCCGGATCTCCTCACGATAGATCTCGAGGTAGGACGCCCGCACGAGGTATTGCTTATCGGACTGCGAGCGGGAAATGTGTGTAAAGATGTGGTCAAAGGAATTAGGGATCACGCCCCTTTTCTCAGGGTCCAACCATGCACCTTGCATGGTGTACGTCTTTCCAGTACCAGTTTGCCCGTATGCAAATATCGTGCCATTGAACCCTTCAAGAACCGAATCAATCAGAGGCCTCACGCTCTCGTCGTACAGGTCTCGTTGTTTGGAGTTTGCGTCGTAGACAGCGTCGAAGGTGAAGGTTTTCTGGGGCTCGCTAGCTGTAGCCCGAGGGTTCCTGAGGATCACCTGTCCAAGACCCAGGTCCAGCTTTACAATGCCCCCTGCTGGCCCATTGGACTCCTCTTTTCGGTTCAAAGGCCGGCATCTCACTACCACCTTGACTGACTCACTGCTCTTATTCTTTGACATGACTGCCCTTTGATTATTTTATAAAATGTGACTTAAATAAATTCTATATTCGGGACTCGTTTTGCCTTTGACAGGCCGCAGTAAAGCTTGGTTTTTAAATCATTAATAACAAATTCAGTATGGCTTCCTGGTCAGATCACAAAGACAGATGGCCACGGGACTTCACGTGAGGATAACTGGAGCAAAATGATGACATGCCACTACGTCTAAAGGCTAATTCTCCTCCTACTTATTGTCCAAAAACAGACAGGTCTCCAGGTCTCAGCTTTGGTCGGATCGACGCTCCATTGCAGATCGCGGTTCCCTCGGTGAAAACATCCAACGGTGCCGGTTGATAAACACCACCCGTCTGTGTAACAAAAGCTGTTCGTCTTTATTCCGAAAAGCCGGTAACGTCCCTCCGTTCGCCGCCACTGACCGTTGTCCGCATCCCTCACCCCGGCCTGTGCTCCTCCTCTGCCGCCGCCGCCGCGCACTGATGCTCGGAAGAGGGTCTGCTCACTGTGGTGCTCCTCTCTCCTCCTTCAACACACACACACACACACAGTCACAGAGATGCACACACACACACATACTAACACACACGGACTCATTCAACCACCACACCCCACATCACTGCGGAAGAGAACAAAGGATGATGGGAAATTGTGTTCTTTTTTACAGATTTTCCTTTAATGGAATCCACACATCTATAGAGAAATCGGCCGTCGATTCCTAAACAAACACTTGAGGATATATAATGAACACACGTCTTAAAAAAGAATGAAATTAATAAATAGACATATTTAATCATAATTCACAGTTGTATGTTGTATCAACTCAGTCATCACAGTAAAACATGGAGTAAATAAAATCAAATGAAGACGCTTTAGTGTAGCAATATTTCAAGGTGGAAAAAAAAAACACATTAAAGAAGGAAAAATATAAGATCTGAAAAGAAAAAGGTAAAACACTCAGCATCAAATGCATCAAGTGTTTTGACATCTCCTCTATTTTAATAATTCAAAAAAACCTTCTGAATATTACCAGGCTAATATGTGATAATGAATTTATAAATATTCAAATCTTAGAACTTTACTAATACTGCTATTGTCGGAGTAAATATTATATTATAAGTTAATATTATATTATAGAAATTCCGCAAAATTATTTAATACTATGATTTGGTTTGTGATTAATAATTAACATCATGTAAGTGGGTAAAAAAAATAGCCTTGTTTCAAAAGTCGGCCTCATGAAAATGTATTTATTCAAAAACGACACAACACCACCACCTGGTGACGTAACAGTGGAAGACACTTTGACCTGAAGCAGTCCGGTGAGTAGATTTAGAGAAGGATTTCCTGTAAAATAACCTCTGTCTAACTCTATCTCAGGTTTCTAAACGGCATTAAATGTCAGCTTTATTATTAACACCAATATCCAGAAGATGAAAGACTCATCAAGCAGCAGTACATTTACATTTCAAACATTCACAAACACTCCCATGAGTTTCGATGAGAACCTTTTAAAAAGTCCTCTCAAATGTTATCATGTCACGTTCTGACGGGCTGGAGAACATGAAACCCCTGACGGAATGAAACCGTTTACTTGTTGCTGAACTGTTTGTGGCTGGTGTTGTTGTTTGGAGCCTGTGAAATTACTCACATGTAAACTGAAAATCCCCTTCAGCTTGAATTCTTGAAGTGTCACCTCACATGACTCAAATTTAGGAATTGTAGAGTTTAATGAAAACTTTCCACGTGTGTGGGCCAAAAAAAAAAAAAAACAGGAGGCAATAACCTTACATAAAAAAAACACTTTTTGTTTCACTTGCATCTTTGAGGGGTTTCCCCCAATGAATCAACTGCGTCTTCACAAACTCTACATTAACTTTCTCTCTCTTCGTACACGGATCTGCTCATTTCATTGTCCATCGAGGTCAGTTCCACTGACACTGAACAACGGTGGTAAAACACTGGTAATAAAACCACAATTAAAAGCACACAGGGCAGACGTATATACAAATATTGACAAAACATTTCTGGTTCGCACCAGAAACATTTGTTTACACATATGGGCAAAAGATGAAATTCTAATTTTAAAAAATCCATAATTTTATTTAACTGAAAAGATTACTGTAATATTTATGGTGAATTATATTTCACTGGAGATTCACTGGATTTTTTCTATTGTTAAACATAGGGGTTTTTTTGTTTTTTGGTTAAACAAACCATACTTTGTCATTTGGTTATTACCCTCCTCTGCTCTTATATCTGTTGAATAAAAAGAAGAAAAAAATACCCATCAAAATACCACAGTCATGTTCACTACTAGTCAAACAGGAACATTTCGAGGCAGACTCGGTCCCGTGCAGCTACGTACACAGTGAACACAGCGCAGTAATTTGCACAGTAGTTGCTGGCTATTGGTAAGAGTGTGAGAAGAACCCGTGGGGCCCCATGCAGCGAAATTCAGGAATGCACACAGGCCTGGGAAGAGTTGTGCATTCAAAACAAGATTTATTGGTGTAACAAAGATTATCTCACGATAAGTAAGAGTGGAACCAGGCTGAAAGGAAGGCTGAGAATTTAAGCTGAGATACTTACAAGATACGGCTGTATTTAATGTGTTGTTTAGACAAAATCTCACTGCTATGTCAAATCATTAGCCTGCATTTTCACCATCTGTTTTACACTCTGTGAGCTGCTTCGTGTTTAGATGACAGCATCTGTTTTCTCTTTGGTCATGCTGAAAGCATGCTCCTACAAATGTTACTCCCTTCTTGAGGTAAAGTCTCAGCGATTATAAAGTTTTTAACTGCTATTCATTGTATTTGATGAGAGCATAAATGTCTTCAAAAAGAAAAGAAGTCTAATCAGTTGGGACTGGCTTCCCTCGGGGAACAAAGTAAATGTCAATGGCCAGTACATATTTTACTTCGAAGGTTCTTTAAAGTAGTTTTTTCTTTCAATACTTCTCATCTTTTTTACTTTTTCACGGGTCAATTCACGCACTCATTTAATGCAGTTTGTGACTAACAAGTTATGTCAAACCAATATGGCAACCAATAGTACAGTATGTACTCTGTTACTACTTCTTTGTGTTTTTTTCTTTGTTTGTTTTTTGTGATGAGAATACATCCCTTTATTCTCCAACTCTTTGACATGACGTCCTTTATCTTTTTTCAGTCTTTCATAACATTTCTCTCTCATGTCTGTACTTGGCAGAAGAGAGCAGGGCATGCTCAGCATTCCTAAAGGAGTGCCTGAGAGTCCAACCACTTTGACAGGCGGAAGAAGAGGCAAAAGTAACACACACACAAGCACGCATACACAAACACACATAGTGCCAAATGTACACTATGCTGCGTACAAGCTTTTACTTCCTTAGCCCTTTTCCAGTGTTAATTTCCGGGCATTATACAAAGCAGGGGATGTGGGAAACGCCCGTTAACTTCGCACATGTACTTTTATATACATGACATCACTTTGCCTGACTCACAGCTGGGACTGTCACCGCACCAAATGCCAGCTTACCTAGAAAAACCAAAACACTTATATACCTCGAATAGAAAGAGTGGTATGTGTGAAACTGGCCGCCATGGTGGAGCCTTAGCTGTATATCTTTCTGTGACAGAAATTGATATTTGAGCCCAAATGTCGGCGTCACGCGTGCAGTAGCGGTTGCCCTTTCCATCAATGTACGACAAGCCCCTTTACCACTGCGTCTCCAACGCTAGACCAATCACGTAACGGTGCTGCATGAAATGACAGCGTCACGAACCAATCAAAGGAAAAGTGGGCGGAGCAAGAGGCGCGGCTGTCGGCCCAGGGTGTCGCCGCTGTGGCTCCCATTCGAAGACGACGGCGGTCGTCTTTATTTCAGTTATAGTTCCTCTGGTGATATTCAAGGCGAAATAAATCCACGCGCGAG